TTTTCAATCCATTCTTAGAATCTTCACCGGTAAGTAACATATTGTCAATTATTTGATGAATAATCAAGTCTTCAGCTACAGATAAAATCGGTCGAAAACCAGGGATATTGAGTCGACATAAAAAAAAATTGTTTGTTCACAATTGTTGTGCTATAATTGCATTCAATCGATACCCGCTGCAGGCTTCATTCATTAAACGTGCTTGACTGTTTAATATTTTACTGTTGAATATGTAGCGCGACCAAAGCGTGTTATGACAAATATTTGCTCAAAACACGTTTAAACTTTTCATCGAAATTTTGCAAAAAAATTAAATGAAGTTACTAGAAATTTTACATAACGATATTAGGTAGAGTATAAGGTAAAATGCCTGAAAGTACAATATACATTTTTCTTAAATATTTATAGATTGGTATTGGCAAGTACCAAGCAAAAAAATAATGAAGTGGCTTTTCCTAGAACTGCAGATTACGGTATATATTTTATGCGTGCTGACATCATGACGCCTTACGATTCATAATTATGCTAATTGTACGACACAATGTGTAATATATATTACACACAAGAGGTGTCGACAAACTTAAAATAATAGCTTAAAATAAGTTCATATAGTATAACTAATAGTACAGAGTAAATTGAATTTTTGTAAAGCGGTTTGTAGTTTTACTTGATTAAAGTACCAAGCACAATTGCTTTGCAATTTTTTTATCACTCAAATCACTGCGCTCGAGTCAACAACAAATTCATCATTGCGATATAAAATAAAACGTTTAAAAGGTATTTTTACAAATTAGCGTTCCGTAGAACTACGGATTATGATGTTTTGTTTGTTTTAACTCATTTTAACAAGCCTTCGTCAGACTTATCTAATCACATATCAGTTAAGTTAAGTATTAAATGAAAATAACTTTTCAAAGAAATATTTGTTAGATTACCGTTCCGCAGATCTGCGGATTGTGGTTTTGCGTGTATGTGTTACTTCATATTTAAAACGCCTTAAGGATGCATCAAACGCAAATTGACGTGCAACAAGTTGATTGCGCTTCCATTTTGACAATGTTTATCTCATAATTATGATGTATACCGTGAAAACATGCGGAGTGAACAAGCAAGCTGTAAGTGGTCAATATTTTGCAATTTCAAGGTAAACACTCCAAACTGTACAAAATGTAATTATTTACAACCATTTCTTTTGAGAATATAAGATGATTTTCAATATTTATATTATTAATGGCAGTAATTTATTAAGAAAGAGTATTAAAAAAATAAAAACAACCAAACTTAATGTCTATCTCAGATATTCTAAATGTTTTTTGAAAACAACTACTTGTAGCGTCCTATCATGATGAGCCAACCTAAATACTTGGCCTCCAATAGAAAAGCCTGTCTACGCCATACGCCTATATTGCAACCTGATTATTCTCTTTCCGAATTAACCTTAACGACTGATAATATCTCGGGAACACGAACTACTGGTTATTTTCAGACAAACACTTAAACATGCATTGCCTTCACTGGAATGTTCTAATACTGCTTGACCATGTTCACTCAACCGTCCCGGTATTGCCTTACAGACCCCTCGAAGATTATTAAACTTTTTTTTTTTAATTTATGAATCGAAATAAAAATTTCCATAAAAATTATACGAAAATATTAGATTCCACTATTTATCTCTTCAACTGCATCATAAGTTACTATTTTGCTGTATCCATGGCGCGTGTTTAGTATTTTCCTAAAATTTTAATTTTTTTTTCAATCCATTCTTAGAATCTTCACCGGTAAGTAACATATTGTCAATTATTTGATGAATAATCAAGTCTTCAGCTACAGATAAAATCGGTCGAAAACCAGGGATATTGAGTCGACATAAAAAAAAAATGTTTGTTCACAATTGTTGTGCTATAATTGCATTCAATCGATACCCGCTGCAGGCTTCATTCATTAAACGTGCTTGACTGTTTAATATTTTACTGTTGAATATGTAGCGCGACCAAAGCGTGTTATGACAAAACACGCCTGTTCGACATTTAACGAAGATATGAAGCATGGAGGGTAAGCCCTATGTAAAAGAAAAACAAAAATGCAGCGTTACTTAATTTTATTGATAAAAAAAGAAAACTAATTCATTCTAAATTCAAATTTAAACATTTTCATAATATTTTAGGATTTCACATGGGGATTTATGAAACAAAAGATTGTTGGGGATTGTTGAAAATCAATGTTGTTCGCTATATCATATTATATTGAGGGAACATTTTTAGAAGCTTGGTCACAAATAATATTTTTATCATTATAAAAAATAAAGTTGATCACAGAATTCAAAATTTTTGGCTTACACTTAACTGTGTTTTGCTTATAACTTTACTGGAAGATTATTATTTATCGATCTTAAGATTGGTAAGTATGTTGATAGGTATTTGTCTGTCTGTATGTCTGTTTGTCAGCTAGATGAACGCGATATCTCACGAAGGCGAAGTTGAATCTGCTGAAATTTTGCATGTGCATTCATCATATCTCGGACCAGAAGCCTATTGATTTTGGATGAATTATATAGTATAATTAGCGAGTTATTAATTAATTGGTGATAAGACACGTGGTGTCACTATAGAGTCATGAATCGAAACAGCAGTTTCGATGGATAAGTCTTCGGTCTCCGACCGATATTCTCGTTGTAACTTTATTGCATTTTATGCCTATTTTTCAAATTTGACGAAATTGTGAGAAATACTATAACTTACATATTTAAAAAACTTCTGGCTCAAGGTTCACTAAAACGAAATCGTTTTTTTTTTAAAACAATAGTTTCTGAAAAAAATGCTAACGTGTACATGTTGCTAAAATAAAAAGTTTGCCATCTCTGGTATATTTAGCTTATTCTATTACTGTTTCTTTAACAGCAATAGAAATTTTCCAAACGGAGAATATTTATTTCAAAATGCCTATATATAAGATTCCTTTTAAGGTATGTTTTAAAAGGGAGATAAATAAAAAAAGGGATCCATTGTTTGAATACAGTGAATATATATTTATAGGATATCTTTATATTGGAGAGTTTACTACTGATGAAAGTTGGTGCTCGGAAGGTGTACAATATTTCCTGCACACCTTAACATGAATAGGCGAAAACGTCATTTCACATGGGGATTTATGAAACAAAAGATTGTTGGGGATTGTTGAAAATCAATGTTGTTCGCTATATCATATTATATTGAGGGAACATTTTTAGAAGCTTGGTCACAAATAATATTTTTATCATTATAAAAAATAAAGTTGATCACAGAATTCAAAATTTTTGGCTTACACTTAACTGTGTTTTGCTTATAACTTTACTGGAAGATTATTATTTATCGATCTTAAGATTGGTAAGTATGTTGATAGGTATTTGTCTGTCTGTATGTCTGTTTGTCAGCTAGATGAACGCGATATCTCACGAAGGCGAAGTTGAATCTGCTGAAATTTTGCATGTGCATTCATCATATCTCGGACCAGAAGCCTATTGATTTTTGGATGAATTATATAGTATAATTAGCGAGTTATAATTAATTGGTGATAAGACACGTGGTGTCACTATAGAGTCATGAATCGAAACAGCAGTTTCGATGGATAAGTCTTCGGTCTCCGACCGATATTCTCGTTGTAACTTTATTGCATTTTAATGCCTATTTTTCAAATTTGACGAAATTGTGAGAAATACTATAACTTACATTATTTAAAAAACTTCTGGCTCAAGGTTCACTAAAACGAAATCGTTTTTTTTTTTTAAAACAATAGTTTCTGAAAAAAAATGCTAACGTGTACATGTTGCTAAAATAAAAAGTTTGCCATCTCTGGTATATTTAGCTTATTCTATTACTGGTTTCTTTATCAGCAATAGAAATTTTCCAAACGGAGAATATTTATTTCAAAATGCCTATATATAAGATTCCTTTTAAGGTATGTTTTAAAAGGGAGATAAATAAAAAAAGGGATCCATTGTTTGAATACAGTGAATATATATTTATAGGATATCTTTATATTGGAGAGTTTACTACTGATGAAAGTTGGTGCTCGGAAGGTGTACAATATTTCCTGCACACCTTAACATGAATAGGCGAAACGGTCTTCAATTGAATGGTTACAAATCACAAATAAAAAATTGAAAATTTCGATTTTGTGGTTCTTAGAAATAAGTTCGTTATAGACACATGCAATCGCTATAATGTTTATTAAAAAAAATGTTGATATTAAAATGTGAAATTGTCATGGAATTGAAATTTAGTAGGAATTCTAATACAAAAGTCTGCCAGGTATATTATTAAATTGCAAACTTCTTATTATCATGGCAAATGGACCGCAACGACTGATAATACCTCGGGAACACGAACTACTGTTTATTTTTTTAGACAAACACCTAAACAGACATTAAGTTCACTGGAATGTAATAATAAAGCTTTACCATGTGTATTCAACAGTTCCGGTATTGCCATGTAGACCATTCAAAGATAATTAAACTTTACTTCCAAGTTTTGGTATCGAAATGAAATATTTCGATGAACATTTTAGTATTTCAATATTTATTGCTTCAACTACATTATAAGTTAAAAAAATGTGTGTTTACAATTCTTGTGCTAAAATTGCATTTGAATATACGTGCTGCACACTAATCAATAATTCCCCGAAATGATGAAGTTGTCATATATAAAGCGAGGTCGTTGCTAGTATGCAGAGCCCTTATTTATTTACCGTCGTTGGAGTGGCACTGTTTATGCTTCATTCATTAGACATACTTTACTGTTTTATATTATGGCGTTAGAGATGCGGTGCGACTAAAGCGAGTTCTAGCATAATACATCTATCTGTGCGATATTCAACGAAGGTAAAATGTATGGAAGGTTGTAAAAATAGTAGGCTCTAACATATCATTTCATGTCTAATAAACGACATGCTAACCACGTAAAAACATAGGCCCTAAGCAAAAAAATACAAAATACATTTTTAGAGGCTTTTATTTTAAAAAAGAATTAATTCACTCAATTCTATTCCAATTCCAACAATTCAGATATTATATTTTCGGATTTCAAATAGGGATTTATCAAACAAAAGGTTGTTACAGGAATATTATTCTTATGTGATATATTATTCAATATCAGGAAGACATATTTAGGATTTGGGTCAGAAATACTACTTTTATCATAATTATAAATAAAATGCGTAACAGATTTAAAAAAAATTGGCTTTTTATATCTGGGTTCCAATTATAACGTTACTTAAAAGTTGTTGCGTTTTATTCATTATTTACAATGTTTTGTGAAATACACTAACAGACTTGTTTGGAGAACTTATGATTCAATGTTCACTGAAAAGAAATTGTTCTCCCAAATGCGATAGTCCAAGCAAAAAAACATGTAACGTTGCTAGGAATGAGAAGTTCGCTATCCCTGTTGCATAGAATATTTCTTTGCTGTTTCTCTGATAGCAATATGAATCTTTTCAACGCGAAATTTTTTGTTTATAGTGATCATATCGGATTGATTTTAAAGAAAGCTTGAAAAGGTAAATCCAAAACGTCACTCTATTAATTGAATACACTTTAATATATTTATAAGACATTGATAACAATTTGCACTCCAAAGCTGCGCTATATTTCTTGAACAGGTGTAACTAAATAGCAAAATATTTTTCAAAGAAAATTTTCAGAATCATCGAATTCAAGTCTAAAGAGTTTTGATGATTTAGTTGTAAAAAATAAGACCGTCATGATATCAGAATCACCAAAAACATATACCGGTAGATTAAAATATGGAATTGTCTTTGAATTGAATTATAATTGACTAAACAATGTCGAAGAAAGCAAGCTGACATGTTGAATTAACGTCGCTCAAAAATAACTTCAAATTTTGGAGGCTCATATGTTGCTACACTATTCCCACCTATATAGAAAGATGGAAGTGGCCTTTCAGGGTCAGGAATCACTTTCAATTTTTGCACTATTCCTGTTAGGAAAATGAAAACTTCCATTTTGGCCAGTTGTTGCCCTATACAACCTCTTTGACCGATCGAAAACGGGATCACATGATTTGATTTGATAAATTTTCCATCACGATCGATAAATCTTTCAGGTAGAAATTCTTGCGGGTTTTCAAAGTGATCGGAATCAAAATGGACGGCCCACAAATTTGGAGTAATCTGAACAATAACTATGATTGATTTACCCCATGATTAACATTTCAGTAATATTCATCTTAAAAGTATTTATTATTTTTAATTCTATATGATATGTTATGTCACACGCAAAAAAATAAAATAGGATTTTCATATTTATCCCGGTAAGCGGAAAACCGATAATAGGGCTTATTCATGTGGCGCCAAATACCAAAAAACTCAAAATTAAATTTAAATTCATTTAATAGTCAATATTCTTCAAATAATGTTTTCCAGATGTTGCCAACTATTATGACGAGCTATTATACAACTTACCGTTGTGTTTTTAGGAATGGTGTAGCCGTTCAAAATTGCTTCCTCGTTAGTTTTGCGAAAAATACTCATTGGAACAACTGTTCTATGTCTCATCAGTTCCTGTATGAAGGCACAAGTGTAAGGCATGTCATCTCTATGCTTCATACTTGGCAATCCGTCTTCACCTAATATAAAAATACCATTGTCAAATAAAAAATATTGTCAATATTTATAGCTTCCATAGTTTGTATTTATTAGCTGGCTTTGATAAAGGGAAACAAATATACTTTTCATATCGGTTGACTTATAACACTCGCTATAGATGTTTTTACTGTCAGTAGCTTTTGGTATTTTCGTGGACAACGCGGATTACCCTTTTTTACATTTATGAGTTCGCTCTCGTGACTCAAAGCAAACTAATCCTAGAAAATATATATTTGTTTTTTTATGTTTTAGGTATCAATGGTACAAATATTACAATTTTGTCATTAAATCCTGGCTCTTGTTTATTAAAAATCTTAAATAAAGCCCCTCGATTACAAAACATTTCGTCGGGTTAGTTTTATCGCTCCAAATCAGGGGTTCCAAACATCCCCAAACTAAAATATTTAAAATAAAATTCACTGTGAGTATACGGACGAATCTATAAATTATCTAAAAGGTACCAATGGATATAAATATTACCACCCATGAGAATCCTTTAAACTTCAATATTCAAATCAAGGATTCACAAATATTTTTTATTTTTTAAGACGTGTGATAGTCTTTTAAATTTTCCATTCAAAACAATTGCAAAAAGACTCATATTTCTTGTGCCAATGTATCCTCACCCAATGTTTCTGAAATTTCTTGAGATATTTTTTCTTGGCATTCTGGGAAAGTAGCAAGGGCGAGTAATGCCCAGGCCAAAGTACTGCTGACTGTTACTGATCCAGCGTCAAGGAGATCTCTAATGAATTGAATGAGTTGGAATTTCTGTGTGAAATAGAGAGAAATATTAAAAATCGATAAAAATTTCTTCATAAACGTTTCTGCCTCAACTCCAAACTTGTCTTAAAATAGTTGACTAGTCTAAAAAAATATTATAAACTGTTTTCGTGAATTAAAATATTTTTTTTATATGAAACATTGGGTTCCGTATGCCTCTGATCAAAATAATACCAGAATAGAAGCTTTTAAAGGATTTCTGTCCTTTGTTCTCCAATCAAATATTAATAATTGGAAATTATTAGTCAATTAGTTGTCTTGAAACGCGATTACCCACAAGAAGCCCCACTTGATTGCCAACAACAGCAACAAGAATTGAGCAAAACCATCCATTTGTACAAATTTCCAGTAATAAAAAATAGAAATTTCGCTGATATTCTTGCAAAATAGCTTTTGGGTCATGGAATTAAACATATGTAATTGAATATACAATATTATGCTTGGCAGCATCTCACGTTAAAAACAGAATCATCTTTTGGACTTTTCTTTATTTCAAGAAGAAATGCATCAATGAAGTCCCGGATGTTGTTTTGATCAAAGTTTGATTTGTGTTCTTCCACGAATTCACGTAAATATTCTGTCCAAATGTAATGGAATATTTGACAATTTTAACGAGAAAATTAGAAAATTTAAAAAAAATTGTCTTCTGCAAATAGGGCAAAGATGCAAAATATGCTTTTGTAAAGTTTGTTTTAAGCATAGTGAAAAGTAAATCAACGATTACCGATTACGAGTTACGTCACTCTGATCACCCTGCACGGGCCTCAGATATCAATTCATGTTTATACAAAATTATGATTGATTTCATTTGAGTAATTTTGTCCTGGCAGAATGACAACCCAAACACTTGTTGGCTAATGCATACAAGTGGCCGAGGTTTACCATAAATTTTGGCTGTTTCATGAATTTTTCTCTCATTTGAAATATACGTATAAATTTTTGCCACATATATCCGTCTGTGATTCTCTGCAAAATATCACGTTTTGTTAACATGTTTAAAAATATGCATTACTCATGAAACAGTCCGCCTCATCAGATGTGATCTTTACGGCATTTCGGAACGGCGGAATAAATCTCAATATCGGTGCCAACGTCAATGATGCCAACAAATGTGTGTGCGTTGAATCTTCAGAGCTTTGAATTTAAAGGGTGTTAAAATGAGGTTAATAATAAAAACTTGCTTATTTGCTGTTGATATAATATTTTACCGGCTTTTATTGTTCAGGGAAAACTCTTAAAACTCTAAGATCATTCTCATATAGTTTCTGACATAAGTCGCTGAAGTAGGTTCCAAACACTACTTTCACAGTCATCCTAGACTATATGAGTAATCCCACGCCTCTGTTCCATCGAGGAGGGACAGCCAATAAAATGGATGAAGTTCTAATATACAATCAGGCAAACTCAATATCTCCTGGAGTGTCTAGTAGAATGGTAACCAATTATATTATTATCGAGCTTTTGGATCATAGGTCGTCGAACGATCGAGATATCTCATTAAGCGTCGGCACTCGAAGTTGTGCTGTTTCGCAGGCACGATTTCAACAAGAGACGAAGTCGTAATATTAAACGCCCAGTTTTGACAGAAAACCACTAGTTTTAATTTTGATTTTAAATTTTGGAGACCACCATAGTGATTTTCACTCAAAACCCTGTAATCATAAACAAAATTTAAAGGTGTATTTGGAGACAAACAAAACATTTCTCTTACATCATAGCGTGCCCCTGTTCATTGAATGCAAAAAGGTTTCAAAAAATATTAGGGCGGAGGGATTTATTTTAAACTCCGCCACGGTAAGAAAAAATTCAATACGCTAGACCAGCGATCAGCAACCTGTGTCTCCGGAGCTGCGTGAGGATCTTTGTTCTAGGAGCTCTGGCTCACGTAAATCGAAGTGGTTACAGCAGTTTTTTGTTAGGAGCATTTAATGACAGGGGAAGGCATTAAGTCAAATTTATGATTCCAGGTCTACGGTATCATGGGTTCGTTAAAAAAAAATGCAATACAATACTCGTGCGGTTTTACCTCGATCGTGCGAGTTATACCTGGATAAAAAATTTCATGTATTCGCCTAATTTATTGCACACCACCGCGGTTCCCAACGTATAAGCCACGAGCGGTATAAACGGGTCGCATTTTGAGGTGATACGTATATCAATTGGCTTCTTCTTAGTAATAACTATTGAATGGATTATTGCATGATAAATGGTTTTACGAGAGTTGCAGTAGCCACTAACATTAGAGTAAATGTTACGGCTCCGAGTAGGTTTGAGTTGATGCGAACGGTGCCAAATGGCTCTTTCAATGCTGAAGGTTTTCGACCCGGAACGAGTAATTTACTATTGGTTTGTCAACATATATTACATGTTGATTGTCGATTGGGTTTTGTGGTAACTAATACTTATCATTTTTGCATTGTCGGTGAATCGTATATGTATAATGAAAGGATAATGTAGCAAGAGTAAAGGTAACTATTCTAAATTAATTCGAAAATCTTTCTGTCTATTTACACAAATATATTTCTCTAACGTTATGTATGATCATCGTCAGACAAATACTTATACTTACAATCTCTGTATAATTTCGATCATATGAAGAAATTTTTTGTCGTCGTATTCAAACCTCGATCCCAGCACAACACGACACATAATATTTGATACAGCAAATGTAAGTTTCATCTGAAAATAGCGACAAAACAATAGGATTTACGATTAAAATCATATAAAAAAGTCATTCAAGTATCGGTTGCACAAATGGAGCTTCTGATTTTGTTTAGGGCTGAAGCCTAATGTAATAAATACAGTTTAACGCATTCAACAAATAATAAACGATATCGCTAAGTGCGACTTTCATCTAAGACAGTTTTTTTCAAAAATGTTTTGTTGATTTATTGGACACGACGTAGAACTTGCGGATCTTTTTTATTATGTTGTTGTTGTCAGTATTTTTATTCTTGTTGTTGATGTTCTCTGTTTTTCATTTCCCGTTTTTTGTTGTTGTGAAAAATACCTGTTTTCTTTTACGACTGGTTCATTTACTTTGACATTTTATATAATTGAAGTTTTTGTTTTATTTAAAAGTTTATTTCTTTTATTTATTACTATACTTACTATATTAGTTCTATGAGATCTGATATTTTATTCAAATTTTACCTGTTTCATTTATTTTCATGGGGTAACGTTTGCTATTGTACCAAGTGTTAAACCCCGATTATGAAATTGCGAAATCGGTGCTTGATAAACGTAATTTTTTTTTGTTTGCACTACGACAGACAACCATGTATAGTGAAGTTTGGTACAGCAAAATATTTCTCTTGAGCGTGGTGCAACATTTTTTGTATATGTCAATTAGGATTTTCTTTATCTAATCACTAACGTCTTCTATAAATTAATCCATAGCAACCATGAAAAAAATTGATTCAAACTCAGGGATATTGTAAAGATAAATTTTAGTAAGATTACTTGTGAAGTACAATCTTTAGCCTTGGTCAAGCTTTCAATCAGGTAAGGAGTTTCCTCAATAATATGTTCTTCCATTCCTTTTCTGCCTACGCCAAATCTGATAAAGAGAAATGTAACCTAATCGTCGTAAACAATGTTAAAAAACAGTGGAAGACTACGTAAATTTACATTTGTTTCAATCATAAATAAACAAATCACTTCAGAATGTGTACTGTATTTTCTATCCGACAGTTCTGAGGTCTGTTTTATTCCACGATACCTGCCGGAGGCATAATGAAACTATATAAATTATTGATTTAACTTTTATTACTAGTATTACCTTGAAGAATGAAAAAATTCTGTAATATACAGTAAAATTAAAATTCATGTTTATTATGATTAAAGTTCAAGTTCAAAAATTGTCTTTGAACCTCCAGACAGGGATCCTAAATGGAAATAAGACAAGAAGAAGGAACCTGTATTTAAATACACTAGTAAAATTTTATTTAATATGTGAATGTTTATAATTGGGATTACAAGTGGAATTTTTACCCTCTCAATTTCATGAGGCCAAATTTCTGTAAAGCTTTCCATGTGGGGCCGTAGTCCATTGAAAGGAATCCATGTTCTTTAGTGATCAAATCAAATACAAAATTGACGGGCCGTCCAGAAAACTTGTGTCCTTGTTTTACCAGTGCCTGTGAATAATTACATGTTGAATAGATGTCATTTCTTTGTGAAAAGAAGTCTCTACTTTAATGATGAGAATAAATTTATGAAAAATTCATATCTACAATTCTGTCATTCTCAGCCATAGTATAGCATTGTCTACGCGGTTGGAATTTTTTGACGCCCAATATCAAAGTCCAGTCCCAAAATTAAATAACTCAAATTTAATCGTTGCGTTTAAGCAATTCAAATTTTATACAAGCCGGGATATTACCATCAAGCATATTTTACTGATGACACAATGCATGTTATGATGTTACCCGATGTGTGATCCAAGGGTATCTCAAAAGCCGGAGCAATTTGGAATTTTGTGGTAGTTAGCATATTCTTTCTTGTGATTTGTTTAAGAATTTAAACGACCATACCATACTGACGACTATCTTGATAGTGGCGTTTCGAAGATGACATACTAACATTTTAAGGTACAAGAGAACTGTTGTTGGTTTTGGTGAGTCGATAAAAAGGAGAATTTGTTTTTGAAATTCTGAATCTCAATATTAGTCGTTACAAACAATTCATTGCATTTACAATTTTTTTTTGAAACTCAATATATAAGCTATAGTGAAGGCCTAGGATGTTTTCTTTAAGTAGTTTGCCTTCATCTAGCATTTTTCACTGAGAATCCTCGAATATTACGAAGTTTAAATACATTTTTATTACACACTACAATACAATAATAAAGTTGTCTCACCTCATTGATAGCGTTAAAATCGTTCAAAATAACCCAATATTCTCGTCCAAATTGAATAGACATAACCGATCCATATTTCTCTTTCAACTGCCGCAAAGATTCAGCAGTGTTGCTTCCCAAAAATGGAACATATCCTAATAAGGGAAGTCCGCGAGGGCCAGGTGGGAAGTTTTTGGGTCTTTTAAACAAATAATAGCATATCAAAAATGTTGAAATCCCAATAAAATAGGTTGGATAATCGATGTCTTGAATTGACAACATCATTAGTAAGTTATCTACTAAAAACAATTTCAGCCACTAATGTGTAATTATCTCCTGTCGAACAGAAGGGTAAAGAAACAAATATTAATGACATTGTTAAAGAAAAGGAAATTACATGTTTATCATTTAATTCATATAGTTATAAAACATATGAAGTGTTTGGTAGAATAATGAATCTAATTAAACACAGTATAAAACCTATTTGCCTTTTTTTAATGTATTTACACAATATAACATCGAAAGAGATAGATAGATTTATCCAAACAATTTTTATAAACGTTAAAAACGAATCGCATATATTTTATATTGCTTCAAATTCGTCTCAAGATATTACGACAAAAATGAAAACAGGTAAAAGCGGGTTTTCTATATTTTGCGGTGTTTTTCCGTACTTATCTAAAAAAATCCCAAGCAATTTCGAATGTTTGCAAGTGGAACGACAATGTGGTTGACTGCTTGACTTGATATAACGTTGTATTTACAGCCTAAAACACAACCCTACACTACCACTATCAGGTTGCAATAAATAGAATGCCGTGGTGGATAATTTCTGGTCTACAATTAGAAGCTTCTTGTAAGCAATTTTTTTTTCAGAGTTTTATTTTTAGCAATAGTAGGAGGATGCATTAAAAAATTTCAGCTAAACTAGGTCATTAAAATGCAATGTCCAACTTCCAGTTGTGTAGGCGTTACGACCAATAGTTTAGGTTCACACTTTCTCAGCAAACCACTAAATACCTACTGTGAATACTATTAAACGTCCAACGTTTATTCTTCAGTTCTTACTGCTAACAATATCCACTTTAAACTTCCTTAACCTTTCTATATTTGAACGACGGTAACGATCGGCAATGCGACTCTGTCTCGTTTAATGTTTGCATAACATCATACTGAACAAGGCAGCAGGGTTGAACTCACGAAACACACAACCCACAAATTTGTTTGAGCACGAGTTGCTGTCTGCTTAAGTATTGACATTATATAAGGTAAGAGGTACACGAAGACGAGTTTAAAAAGAACAAAAAACGAGTTCCAATATCCATCATTAGAATGTTAAAATGCATTAAATAAAATAAATTCCAAATCAAAGTTTGTCAATTTGTATTAACCTATTATAAATTTGACAATAATAAAAAATAGTTATGTAATATTTTGTTATTGTGTTGTAGGCGCAAAAAAGGGGTGGTGGGCGCGCTGAGAATTTCATAAAGCGGTGCAGATGGCCCAAAATCTACTGAAAGACCGAATTGTACGCTAGTCTTGTCGTATTCATTTGTGCCCTTTTTAAATTCGAGCTCTTATTTGTGTAGGGCTAGATTAAATAAAAATAAAACGCTGACGCTGACAATAGTTGAATTGTTTGAGTACTTGTGTCACACATGATTGGCAAACCTGTTGCAAAATTAACAAACGTATTATGATTTTTTGATATTATTCTTGCATTTTAAATAATAATGCATTGGGAATACAAAGACGAAGACAAAAATGGCTGCAACAATCTTATGACTTTCGGCAATAAAAAGTTTAATTTTGATAAAAAGCTGTCCTATTGATTATTATACAGGTGTTAAGGCCCATTTTTAATATCTCTGATAGGCGTCTTATTTTGTTGACAGAAATATGATAGAATCATCTAAAAATAAAAATAAAACTTCGCGCTTATTGCAGTAGATTAAAGAATAAATGAGAAAGATAAATCTGTGAAATTTATATGGGGACCAATTACAAAACTGTGCTATTGGTGTGGCGCAGCTTTAAGATCTCGCCATTAAATCCACCACTTCAATCAGGATGCTGTATTTTAGTGGTTGCACATAACTTAACTCAGTAGGTAAACTGAAATCGAAACAAACTCAAAAAAGTTTAAAGAACAAAAGCTTTCGTTAGTTCTAGTTAGGTTTCGGTTGAACTATTTTTAGTTATTAAATAACGATAACAATGTTAATAATAATAATTAATGACAATAGACAACTTTTTTTTACGCTATGAAATATGTGGAATTAATATTTGAATGATAATATACAATTGCTCTAAAACATTACATCATATATTGAAAATGGTAAATGAACCAAACAACAACAAAAAAATAGAAAAAATAAACACAGGGTTCAAACCTTGAAGTGTTTATATTAAGCTGGAATATTATTTTCAATTTCTTCTTGTAATTATGGGGTTTTAGTTTTCTGAAATTTATAATTCAGAGTCACATTTAGATCAGCTAGAAAATTTCAATTTTTTTTATATTGGAAGTATCAACTCAAGTTGGAGCAGAGCCTACTTTACAATCAAGTTGAGTAAGGACAAAAGCCTATGGGCAACACAAACGGTCTACGAACTCCTAATACAACCAAAATGAGCGTAATCTGAACAAAATGACGACATGACCCCAGCCTAGTACAGCTAATACGGGAGTACCAAATACTTTAATTTGATCGTAAGGAAAGGCTTGATGTTGTATTCATTTAAATATGAATATTTATTAATAATTTATTGATATAAATGAAAGAAAGAAAAAATATCTTTTTCTGCAAAATTTATTTTTTCCTCTATTCCTCTATTACATTCATATATATTGTATATATTTTGATAAAAATTTGTTTACACTTGATTTGATCACCCTGTATATAGGGAACAGACGAATACCTTATACACGGTTATCATATATATACGATGTTGCAAATTGTCGACAGAAGTAAGCAATTTTTTTGATCTTTAATAAATTGATTTAATACCTAAAATTCATGATTTATATACTTTGTCCTAAAATTCAACTTTTTAGATTGAATTTCGTAATTTAGTTCATTTACTTCATCAAAATCAAATAGGAATGGGAAATTTAGAATATAATGCAAATAAATGATAAACTAAAAAATAAAAATGTAATTGCAAAATAAAAATGTAAATTATTATTTATTAAATAATTCAACAGGTGAAGACGGTGTACTAAGTATGAAACATTAAAATGAAATGACTTATACATGTTCTTTCATACATAGACTGATGAGGCCATCATTCTAATTTGCCTACTATTTATATCCCTCTATGTTCATTGAATGCGTATATAGCTTATCAGGATTAATGATTTTTGGGAAAATATTTGGCAGATGATTTAAATTTTAAATAATTTACCATAATAACGGGTACTCCCGAAGTATGTGCACCAATATGGCGGACACCGGAACGTAGTATGTGTACCAGATTATGGTTAGTCCATAATTTCACGTACAAATACTACGGAAGTCACCTGTCTAGTCCCCGAACTTGTAATATAACCAAAAAAGTAAGTTGGAATAAAATTAGGGCTTGATCCGAATCTGGCACACATACGACGTTCCAGTGAACAGTAAAAATAATGCAACCATAATTTCATATACAGGACGAAAATGAACTCTGATGATATTTGAATAGTTCCAACACCAATGCAAACTTATCTAAATTGGAAAACACATGCGCATACTGCAGGGGATACCACATAACTTTATTCAGAGCAACATTGACGATAGAAAATTTTCTTCATGATTAAGTTTAAACCCGAAAAGAATCACAGTTCAAACACCAGATTCAATGTGTGGTGTCCTAAATCTTACAATTCCGCCTGAATTGAAACCGCAAAATTTTCTGTAATTCCAGACTATCATCTGAAACAAATTATATACGTTGTTTTATTTTGACGTTTTTTTTATTTTATTCATATAGTAAATTTATCAAATTTAATTTATCACATGGGGTTTGGGGATTAGCCAAGTGACCCCCGTAGGATTTGTACCTGAAATTAAGGCCTGACCTGGTACACATACTACGTTCCGGTGTCCACCATCTTGGTTCACATACAACGAGGGTACCACATATTGAATTGTAATTAGCACGTGTAAATATACAATATTGATATTTCTTTGTAATTGAAAGAGTCAAATTGTACATTTTTACAATTTTGAAACCTTGATTATTCATACAACGAAATGCCTAATTATTTATATCCACATAGTTGTTTCTATTTATCCGATGAATTGGAGTTATCACATGTACATATACAGATGAATACATCAAAACTTCTTATTTGTAAATCAAAAAGTGAGATTATACATTCATATACATTTAACAATGATTTATTTGGAAAAACCGAAGTTTTTTTCATCTATTCTCAAAAGGACCTCAAATTTAGGTGGATCATATGTGACTATACTGCTACCACCCTCATTAAATGATAGGATGGGGATTTCCCGGATTCGGTACGACTTTCAACTTCTGTAAAATTCCTGTTATAAAAACGAAAATTTGCATTCTTGCAAGTTGTTTCCAAAGACAGCGACTAGGGCCGGCCGACAGAAAACGGGATCCCGTGATTTGATTGGATAAGGTCGAAATTCGTCCAGAGTTTCAAAATATTCTGGATCGTGAATAACTGCCAATAAGTTAGGGCAAACCTGAAATGAGGGACATCTAATTAGAGCACAATGGAAGAAAAAAAATATCAGCTCGTTGACCTATTATTTTTTTGTTGAACTCGGTAGTAACGACTCAATGTGTATGTTTTAAGCAGATCAAAGACTTTTGTTCTTAAAATTAGATTTGAGTTCAATATTAAGGTTTGAGTTCAATATTTTTTCAACCAGACTTGCGTGGATTCCGGCTGGAATCGGAGTTGGACGTCAATTTTCACATGCCTGCTTCTATTTATCATAAAACTATACATTACAATTTACGCAGGAACGATTTCTCCTAAATTTGCTTTAAATTTAGGACTCACTGTTGTATTTTTCGAGCTAGTATACCCATGTAAAATCGTTTCTTCGTTCGTTTTATGGAAAACACTTAGAGGAACCAAAGTTCTATGTCTCATCAGTTCTTGTATGAAAGCACATGTGTAAGGTATTTCATCTCGATGTTTCAGTGATGGAACTCCGTCTTCGCCTGTATAAATAAAACAAAACTGATAAACACAACATGAAACAACTGAAGTAACATAGCCCATAGCATCAAAGACTTGTTAAAAATATTTCGACAAAGTTTACAACAAAAAATCTATGCAATGCATAAAATCCAAAAATAC